CCAGCAAAACTTATCATTTTATTTATAAAGAAACAGTTTATAACGGGAGGAGAAATGTCACCAAAGAGGGGAGAAGATGGTGCATTAATTACAAGTGAGTTCTACAAACGGGATGTTGTCAGCTGCTGATATCCACCTATTAGATGAGACGGAGGCATGAGCGACGGTCACCGAGCAGGAAAGCCGTGTGCGTCTTAATAATGGTGATAATTCAAAATTAAAGTGAAGTTGCTGCGAATTTGCACAGGGATCCCGGCTTTTCTCCCCCCCTCCTTATAGGTATCAGGGTTCCTGCAGGCTTACTACTACCTCTCCAGCTCCAAAATGTCTGGATCGCGCTGCCATCTAGCGTACGTTGTACAATTACAACCTGAACATGAACAAATGGAAAGTCATCAAACATGCATTTTTAAACACTTCAGATCAGATTGAGAGGTTAAAGAAAAAAGATGAGATGAGCTCGAGTTGGCGTAAAATCGTCCCTGGACTTTTTTCTTTTTTTTCTTTTTAAAGAACCATCTTTTTCTTTCTTTCTTTCTTTTTTTAATTGCGTCTTTAAAAACACAGAAAAGTCAACTTTAAAAAGGAGCATCAATAAATATTAATTACAAAATAGTCACTTTCCTTTATTTGCAAACTATTCATGAAGCTAAAAGGAACAAACATTCTGATAGAAAAATAAGATGCAGCTTTAAAAAAATAAAATTAAATGAAGCCCAACTTTACCAAAAGCAGCAAAGTTTTATTTCTCATTAATTACATGAAAATATTAGAAGACACAACGAAGCGTCAATTTGCAAGTGCTCCCTTTGTAATGACACAGGAGGGATGGGTTGTTGTTTCTTTTTTCTTTAAGTATTCAAGCAGAGAGCTCTCTCTCTCCCGTCCCTGTCCCGGACACTCCACTGGAACTCTCCGGCCGTGTCTCCAGCTCCTTGAAAAGGTGAAACCAATAAGATTAAATCGGACAATGATTTTTTCCCCCCACTCTCTTTTTTTTTCTCTCTCTCTCTCTCTCTCTCGCCCCCTCTCTCTCCCCACATTTTTTTCTTTCTCTGTTGTGTATCATTAAGATTTAACTCCGCAGATTGGTAAGTAGAAGTGGGAGACGAAGAAGAAGAAGGAGAAGGAGAAGAAGAGGGGATAGTGAGAGTGGACAACGGATGGGAGGCAAGGGGCTCTAATAGAAAGCCAGGGTGGGGGGAAACGGAGGAGAGAAACCAGGGGGGGGACAGAGTGGACGGAGGGGATGTTGGGACGAAGGCGCGCGGCTGCGAGCGGTGGAGGTTTCCAGTGGAGGAGCAGCCTGGCAGCGGGAGCGCACACAACGAGGCAAGTGCACTTTTTTTTCTTCTTCTTCTCTCTATTAAATTATCCTCTCTAAACGCACGGCTCAGTAGCGTCAGAGTCGCAACTTTTGGAGGACCCCCCCCCCTCCCCTGAACACTACATTATAGCACATTATTTCTCTCCCTCCTCCACCCCCCTCACCCCGGCTGCACGCGCTTGATGTGCACATCAGATAAGCGGTGATCCTATCACCGGAAAAAAAGGGGGGTTGCAGAGCGGCACGCGGGACATCGCGGGGAGGCTCCATGATCCCGCACGTCCCGTCCACCGAACCAGCCCATTTGTTGCCTGAAACCCATGATGAAAAGATCGATACCCGTCTGTTTGCCTCAGCGATAGTGTCACCGAATTAAAAGGCTGATCACTTCAGCCAACCCTTTTTTTAAACGACACACGTGCCGATTATACAGTCCGGACAACTTTTTTTGGGTGCTTATTTATTTATTTATTTATAGGCAAGAATAGTCCAGACCCGAGGAGAGAATTGAGCGCGCATGCAGGCATGGAGCTTGTTTTACGCGTCGGATTAGTGAGTAAATGGAAGGTGCTTTGTGACTTATCAAAGCAGCATTATTGATGGGGAGGGAGTGCAGAGAAATGTAGGCCAGGTGAACTTCTTTCAGGGCAACATTTTAACCCTGCAAAGTTTTCACTCATTAGTTTTTGTACAAGTCGTGTAACATTTCATTTTTTATGTTGTTTTCAGTCTTCCTCAGATTAAAAATATAATAGTTTTGAATTTATTAAAAATGCAAATAATGAACTGCTGTCATACTGAAGTGTTTTATTTTGGTCAATTTTAAATACAGCTGTTAAATGTTGCAACAAGTATTTATTGGTTGCAAGAATATTAATTTTTAAGCAACACTGATAATCAAAATAATAGTATTTTGTCAAACAAGAAGATAAATGATGTGAAGGACTCCTGCGTGCAGCTCAAACACAGAGGTCACAAGTCCAAGACCCCCCAATAAGAAAGCGTTTTCAAACGACGCAAAGTGAGGGGGACATTTCTAACTGTTCGGGTGGTTTGTTTATTATTCATCGTGTTGAATCACGTCAGGCTTTGAGCCACAGTGGAGGCAGCAAAAAACACGTTGTTTGGGTTCAAGTGGAGACGGTTTCCTTTTTCAGTGGGGGGCTCTGCTTCAAACGGGCTCCTGGACGTCAGGGGACAGTTCGTGACTGCCACTTTAACACCTGCCTGCAAAACCCGAGTCACAGTCAAAACGAATTAACTGCTGAACACATACACGAGTAAAAGTTGGACTGACACAAACTTGTTATTAATCTATGAAATTAACACTAAAACTCTCTTTTATAACTTTACTCAGAGCTTCTGGGAAGTTCTAAAACGTTGCAAGTATTTAAATGCATTATAATAATTAAAATATTCAGGGTAAACCCCAGTAACACATTTTTCACCTCTAGATTCATTTAATTTAGTTCTCAGAGAGCAAAGGTCAATAGTGTCCCAAGTTATCTAAAGAAAGACATGTCGTTTTAACAAGAAATTATAAACCTTTAGATTTATTATTAATTGACGACTTGATTCACTTGATATGAAGAATGACTTTGCAGTGACATATTGATCTGAACTGTTTACGTTGGAAACAAATGTAATTTTATTTTGCAATTAGGTCAGAATTACATGTTTTGATAGTTTAATTTTTTTATAAAGAAAAATAATTTGAATTTAATCACAAATACTTTCTCAAAAATCTATTATCATTTAAATTACAATATTACACAATTATTTATAGACATTTTCCTATTCTTGTGTAACTGTTCAAAATAAACAAATAAAATAAATTATAAGCAGGCATAATTTTAAATTATATAACGGTTATAAACTCTATACTAAGTGAAGCAAAAATAAGTAAATAAAACCTAACAAGTTTTTGTGTTTGACCTGGAGGTTTTGTTGTTGTGAGTGCTTGCTGTGAGGAGGAGGAGGAGGGGTGAAGGGTCGGACTGTGAGGGGGAGTTAGTGGGCTTCTTTTTGTCCAAATCTCATCTCCGAATCATTCTGGCGGCTTAGGTCGGAGTGAAGTGGTCAAGAAGGTCACCGGAAGTCGCATTTTCTCCAGTTTTATATATGCATGTGTTTTTACTTGGGCCTTGTTCATTATATGGACCATGAACTTTCTATAAATATATTCTAACCGCTCTTAACTGATTTGTGAGAAGCTAAAAGTAATGATATTTATGTTCATGAGCAAAATATTTACCATAAAGTCAATAAAACACTAATGCAAGTCACTAAAAAGGAATGGGATATATAATTACATTCTGTCGACTTTTAAAGTAAAAAAAGCGTTTAAAAGTTTATGTGTAGCAGTAGTTTTAGGTTATATTTATTTAGTCATTATTTTTGAGCCTGTGCTGGCGTCTCAGTTTTTACACGTGACAAATGAAAGTCTCTTTCCAGGCTTTTTGTATCGCGGACTGTACTCCTAATTGACGACAATAACTCCAACGACTTCCCCAATTAGGTTTGAGGTTGGAGTTAAGCTAGAGGCACTGTCAGTTTATGCTATGGCCAATGGCTTTATTGCTCACTAACCATCATTCCTTTTAGAGCTTATACGTGCTAATTACTCTGGATGGTCCCAGAGACGGAGATTATAAATCCATTAGTGCTGAAACCCTCGTGGTTTCACAGAGCAAACACTATAATTTTGTAGTGTACCCAAAAAAACCTAAACGTTAAGAGGCTGGAGGAAGGAGAAAAGTAACTTTCAACAGTGTGTGCGGATGGTATTTTGTGTGTCAATCAACTGAAACGGAAAACTATTTTTAATCAACTCTCCAATAATATTTTTAGTGTCATTTTTTTAAGGCGAGTTTTAAAATAAAATAGACTATCTCTTTCATTCCCCAGGTGGCTGTCAGAATGCACCCACAGAGAGGAGCGGTGCAGATCTTTAAGGAGCAAAGTGGATGAAAGGAGCGTCTTTAATGTACCTGCTTGAGTCCGTTTAAAGTGCGCAAATGCGAAAGGAAAAAAAAAAAAACGGGAGCAGAACGAGGCTGCACGGAGGCACACGCGCGCTTTAAAGTCATTTATTTCAGGGAAACCGCGGGGCAAAGGTGGAATTCTTGAGAAATTCAACAAGGATAACAGGAGCTTTAGGAATACTGCACGCAGATTACCTTTCATCCCATCCTCACGTTATCCGACAAACGCGTACATTTATTTTAGCCCGTGACACAGAAGAAAGCAGGAACATTTTTTTTCTATTTAAACAAATATAAAAATAAAAATAAGGGATGGAGGAGAAAAGACGCGCGCGCGCGT